CTGCTGTTCATATAGAATTAAACCTACGGAGAACCGAGGCAGAGTTCTAACTTCTTTTACCAAAAGAACCAAAGTATCGTGGATTGGGAGTGTTTCCAAACAAAATGTTAAGTTAGTTTCGTTAGTAACAATTCGTGTGATCAAAGATACTGACAAACCAGTAACAAGATGTTATCAATTGGTTATATATATATATATATATATATATATATATATATATATTTGTTGGTAAAAAAAAGGAAATCAAAAAAGTTGTAATGATGATTGCTAGAGTTTTGCGTCGAATCGGAAAAGGATTTCACCAAGGCAAACAAATTATGGCCAGCCTTAATCACTAATTAATCGCACGACATTGAATATAAACAAACGAAGAATCAGTAGCACTGGATGGCGTGAAACTACAATATTTGCTAACTGGAAAAAAATCAAATTTTTTTACTTGATCTAATTTGGGAACACATTAGTTGAAACATATGTGAAACATCTTTTGAACGCACTACTTAATTATTTACGTATATGACCTGTTTTAAGGTGCAGCCATTGTTTACATCCTTTTCTGTCTTTAACTAACGTTTTACAAAGTTGGTATCGAACGTCGGCGGCGACGTCGGTGAAGCCCATATCCACGAGTTTTTAATGTGCATCTTTCGCCCTTCTCACTATATAACCAGTCCATCGATGTTTTTTAAAGAAGTATTCCGCTACTTAGACGGGACATTGATCTCATATGTGAACTGAATCTGACGAAATGTTGAGTGTGTCGTGGTTGAACAAACTTTGTTCCAGCGCTACTTGGTTTCTTCAGAGGCCTTTGACGTAGCCACAGTGTCAGGCGACGTCTCTGCTGCGTATCAGAGCGCTGGGAGATCGGTGAAGTTGGCTTCTCTTGTCTGTAAAAAGCTCGAAGGCGGCCGAGCTGCCCTTCACTTTTTCTAAAATTTCATATCTTGCTCCATGTTTATCGAACGCCCGCAATACACGCCAGAAGAGGCAAGAGGACTGGAGAGCTTTTTTCCACTAGCTTGACCTGAGTTCTACCCTCTTCCCACATCGTTTACTTCCTCGCTCTAATCCAGTTACTTTAATACCCACCCCAAGGCGAAGGTGAACAGCTTTTTGCCGATAAGGTGCAGCCTTCTTGGACTCATTCACAACTAAATTAAAGGGACTATAAAACAGCGTAGTTGTAGAGCAGTTTTTTAAAGCAATCAGCCAATGTTATAACGCGAAATGGGCCCTACATTCCGTCGAAAGAAGCAAGCAGTATGACGTCAGTTTCTACGCTGTCAAA